TAATTTAAAGGAAAAATACCCTAAAACATTTACTAGAACTCATTTTTCCTCTAAATTCATTTTCAACTACATATTTTAAGAGATTCAGAACTTTTATCAATTATTCAACTACACATTTCATCAACTTTTATCAAAATCTATTAAAAATTGGATTAGTTTCACAAACAGTCACTAAACTTACGCGAAAATTACAAAACGGTCACTGAAGTTTAAAACTTTCAATAACGGTCACTTAAATTTCGGAGCGCTTTCAAAAACGGTCATTGAAGTTTAAAAACTTTAAAAAACGATCATTGAAATTTAAAAACTTACAAAAATGACCACTGAAATTTAAACACACTTTTTTAGTTTTTTAGGCTACTTTTACGGCAACTTTCGACTACCGATACCGTCAAATTTTGATACTTTTTGAAAGCCCACAATATCATCTTCAATTACGACCTAAAATCTCCCCATAACTCCAAGGGATTCGACCGAAAAATCGTCGCAAAATTCGTCCAAAAAATCTGAAAATCTACCCAAATTTTTAGATTTTAGATTTTCAGATTTTATGGGAGATTTTTGTGGCGATTTTCCAGTGACTTCTGACCACCAAGACAGTCGGATTTTGATATCGTTGAAAAATCCACAATGTCCTATTCAATTACTATTCAAAATCTCCCTCAAAGGATTCGGCCGGAATAAACCCACAAATTCGGCAACCCAAAAAGGCAAAAATCTACCTAGATTCGGGATGTTGAATTTATGGATTTATTCTGGTCAAATTCTTTGGAGTTATGGGGATATTTTGGATGGTAATTGAAGAGGAGATTGGGGGCTTTCCAACGGTATAAAAACCCTGGGGTCCTGGTGGTCAGAAGTTGCCAAAAATTTGTCGCAAAAATCGCCCAAAAAACTGAAAAATCCTTTGGAGTTTGGAGAGATTTTTTGGTTGTAATTGAAGGGGACATTGTGCACTTTTCAACGGTATCAAAATTCAGCGGTATTGGTGGTCGAAGGTTATCGGAATGTTGCCTCCAAAGTAGCCCAAAAAATCTGCCCAAATTTTCGCCTTGCCGAATCCTTTGGAGTTTGGAGGAGATTTTGGATGGTAATTGAAGTAGAGATTGTTGGCTTTCCAACGATATCACAATCTAGTGGTCTTGGTAGTTAGAAGTCATCGGAAAATCGCTGCAAAAGTTGCACAAAAAAATTGAAAATCATTTTTAGTGTTTTTAGGTGACTTTTGCAGCGATTTTCTGGTCAAATCGTTGCGGAGAGATTTTAAGCGGTAATTAAAGGGGACATTGTTGACTTTTCAATGGTATCAAAATTCGATAGTATTGATGATCTGAATTGGCTGAAAAGTTGCCGCAAAAGTAGCCCAAAAAACTGAAAACATATTTTTAAATTTCAGTGACCATTTCTGTAAGTTTTTAAACTTCAGTAACCATTTCAAAAAATGCCCCGAAACTTAAATGACCGTTACTGAAAGTTTTAAATTTCAGTGACTGTTTTGTAATTTTCGCGTAATTTCAGTGAATATTTGTGAAATTAACCCATTAAAAATCTAATTTTTAGCTAAACCAAACAAAGGCTAAATAATACCTTCAAATGTTTTATTGCCAATCACAACTCAATGACGCCTAAGTGTCTTACATGCAAAGTTGCTGAAAGAGAAAAAAACAGCATTCAAGCAAACTAAGTACTTATTTATGATAATAAACACTGCACAATCTCACCATCACTTTCTCCTACTATTAAAATTTTAAATTGATACGCGAATAGCTGCCTAGTTGTCAACAACCTCGATCAGGGTTGGCTCATAATCTTCTGGTGCTTCAAATCCGTGCAAGTTCATAACAGTTGCAGCGATGTTTGCAAGTCCACCTTCAGGAACATCTTTGCGGAATCTCACACCAGGTGCCAGCCCAGGACCACCAATTGCAACAGGAACCTTCACAGAAGTCAAATATTTATATCAGCCATTGCTCAACAATGTATGGCTAAGCTTAAAGTTACTTTTCTCAAAAGTCTGTCTTAAGTTTTGTCAGTATAAAAAGTAACTTCTAAAGTTTGACAAAAACGAAGCTTAAAGAACCACAAATCACACAAAAGCAGCCATCTTAGTCAACCAAGGACGCATTTAGCCGATTTAATAGTGCAAGAGTGATTGTAGTCTCTATGAATTTGTCGTTTCAAATGATCCGAATATTTACTGGCAAAAAGCAAACCCCACTTTGGAACTGTGGAATCACTTGTATGTTGTCAAAGAATTTTTAAAAGAATTATCTTGATAGGGGACAGTTATTTATTTTGGCAACCATGGTTGGTCTATGACCAGGATGAGACTCTTCTAAAAAGTGTATGATTTAGTCTTGTAAATAGGCTGTCCATATTCTAAAGCTTGATTTAGGGATCTCAAGTATAAATATTTACCTTCTATTGTGAATACAAACATACAACAGGATTCTAAACCAATGAGTTGCACTCCAAAGTTCCTAATTTCTTTTCTAGATTTCTTCTTTTCTTCATTTAATGACTTCCACGATCTCTCCCTCTTCTATATGTGGGTGTATGTGCTGGTGCAGGATGGAATTCCTCTCTCTCTCTCTCTCTCTCTTAACTACAACTGTCTTTAAACGAGGCCAATAAAATTGACATTCAACCTCTTCGATTGTCTTATCACGTTCAAAATGCCCAGCCAGGCCTCCCGCATGACTTTACCGAACTATAAAGTCTCGTACTGAAATCCAAGGAATGCACAATTTATTGGACTTAAAAAGATAACCATCTTCTAGACGAAAACCATCAGTAGCATCCAATTGTCCACTTTGCAATGCAAGGAAAATGTCCTTGAAATCGGGACATGAATCATAATCTTCCTTGAGTCGTTCAAAACCTATGACCTTGACACTCATATTGGTTAAAAGTGAAATGCAGCGGATGCTTTGATTTTCACTGCCCTTTTTATGCTTCAAAACAAAAGAGTAGACCTACAAATACTCGATCCAACGACAATGCCTAGCATTCAACCTCTTTTGGGAATTAAGGTAGCGAAGTGTCTCATGATCCGAATAAAGAACAAATTCAGGGGGCAACAAGTAATGACGCCAATAGCGTAAAGCTTGTACTATTATAACAGTACAAAACGTGTTTTCAAGGTTGAAAGAATATTCTGCTCAAGAATTAGAAAGGGTACCTTCATTATGAAGGAAAGCTTTTACAAAAACTGCAGGCATCTCAGGAGGTATCATTCCAACTAATGATTGGCAAAAAAGAAGCTTATCCATCACATACGGACTGCCAGTGAGTCAACTGAGAACATTGAACTGATTAAACAGTGCAAGTGATTATTAAAGAATTTGTCCTTTCACATGCACCGGAGATTCACACGCAAACACTAGACCTTTGGAAACACGGAGACCTTGTTTACTGTGAAATGATTATGAAGTATTATCTTGATAAAGGACAGTTATTCAAGTTGTCTATCAACAGAAAATCTAGCCGTTGATTCTAGGGGGTTAATTATTTGTCTATGATTGAAATGAGACTAAGAAGTGTTTGATTTGGTCAAACTCGAAACTACACTTTCATTATTCTTAGCATTGACTTAAGGACCTTATGCTTGTTTCCTGAGATTTTTTCTTGTGTATAAACATGTACATTCTGTTGTGAATACAATAATACACACTCCTCGAAAAGCACTCCACCACTCAATGTCGCCCACATAATGATCTAAACAAGGAGTGCCAGGAGCAGTTTAATGAGCAATGAATCACAGTTCCCATTCTGTGCAATTTATGGGGCCCATATTACCAATGAAAGCATAAAAAACCTGCAGGCAGCCCTGAATAATAAGTGGAAGTATTGAGAAGAACTTACAGGTTCCAGTGTGTGAGAAGTAAGTATTTGGACGTTCCCATTCTTGTCAAGAAGAGGCTCGCCTTTCTTGTTCCTTTTCACCATGTCCTCTGCATTTCCATGATCTGCAGTAACAACATATATTCCGCCCACTTGGTTTATTGCATCAAGGATCATCTGCAACAACCAATGCAATTATCTAGATCAACTCGTATTATTCAAGTGCAGCAAATCAAAATTTTATGAAAAGGATCCGTTGAAAGCTCATGAAGATAGTATGATAAATCATAACAAAAGATCCTATTCAAAATTTCAAACATCAAGCAAGTATAACATGAATGTTAAGGCATTTATGTATGAATAACTTGTCTCTCTAAAGGTTGTCAAAACCAACAAGCCGTTTGCTTGCTCAACTAAAAGTAGGCTCTATTTCTAATTTAATTGAAGATTCGTACATTACAGCATTGATTGAAGCTAAAAAAAATCCAAAGGGATAGGATAAATCGCATTTCACTAGACAGACAATATGAGAAAATGAAAGGTTTTGTTGTAAATTCTATGTAGTAACATACATTACTCAGAAGAAGCTCTTGCTACCAAACTGTTTTGCTTCACGTGTATTTTGGAAGGGAAGATAAAGACTGGCACAACAGACTTTAAAAATAAAGTAGTCATTGATGGCCAAAGTTTCTATTTATTTTCTCTTCTAGATTTCAATCCCGAAATCCTGTCACTATCTTAAGATCAGGATTCTCTAGAATGTTGAGGGAAAAAGCATTGTAGTGATGTATATCATACCTATCATACCATTTGTTGCAAAACCTATTGTATAAAAAAGAAAAGGTGCTTAAAGAAAATGATTTAACATATTGGATTTTGAACACTCGTATTAAAAAAGGAAAAATGAAAGCCATTTTAGTTTCTCTTCAAGAACAAAAATTTGAAACAAATTGGCTTATGAACATGGCTCAAACATTCACAGATCTTCATATTATAGTAGTTTCTTCCGATGTAGGCATATTTTATCCTAAAAGGGAAAAAAAGGTCGAAGTATTTCAGGGATATATTCTATTCAGTAAAGCTGTTATGCTTCAGTAAACCTCATCAGCTACTTAACGACTTCCAACCAACAAAAAAGGTATAAGCACTTAACAAACAATTTATCTTCATCTATGCAAGAGTTCCCCTCTCTAGCCATTTGCCCTTCTTCAGTCCACACAAAAAAGAGTGTGAAATTTCTAGGGGAAAGTGTCATCAAGAATAAAAAGAATAAGTAGATGACTCCAGAACCAACATTACCTTAACAGCGTCATCAGCAGCCTTGCAACCAACAACTGTTGCTTCAATGTCACCAGTATGTCCCACCATATCACCATTAGGTAGGTTAACACGTACCTTGCGAAGAACGAAACCTTATTAATAAAATGGTTCTAATATCACATTTGTTCGTATTCAGAATAAATGAAAAAACGGATGGATAATGGATCACCTGGTCGAATTTGTGGCTAAGGATGGCATCCCTAGCTTTCTCAGCTATCTCCAAGGCCTTCATCTTAGGCTGGACATTGAAGGTAATACCAATATCACTGGGAATTTCAACATATTCTTCCATTTCTTGGTTAAAGTATCCTGAGCGGTTACCATTCCAAAAAAAGGTGACATGACCAAATTTTACTGTTTCACTGTCCAACACAAACACAAATAACAGAAGTAAATATATGTCAAACTGAAACTAGTCTAGCTGGCAGGCAATGCACATATATCTAAAAAGCTGCGAAAGATAAACTCCGCACATCTTCAGATATACTATATTCATAAATGAAAATGATAACACTGTGATTTAAACTTAATGGAATTAAAAACCCTGCTAATACATATATTTCTCTAAGTAACCGCAAGTTAATTGAGAAACACCCATAGAAGTCATCAGGCAATGAACGTAAGAAACTAGTTATCCAGCCACGAAATGAGTAATTTCCCATCAGTCATTTAAATAAGAAATACATGAGCATGCATGCATGAGTTATGACATAGACTAATGTAAATTAGATTGTAACCAAAATCACCTGCAAGCAAAGGTACGGATGCCATTATGCACTAAATATTCCCCAGATGTTCTGTCGATCTCTGGAGGAGAAACAAGGTAATGACTTGGAAGTTTCAATTCACCATCATACTGAAGCATTCCCGCATAACGAATTTTGGGGAAGCGAACTCGATCAAATTTATCAAAGTCTTCATATTCAAGTGCCTTGGCTAGCATAACCATACGATCAGCCCGAAAGTTGAATGTAACAACAGCATCACCATCTAAAATAGGCCCAACAGCCTTTCCATTATCGTCAACGATAACAAATGGAGGCAAGTACTGATCGTTAGCATTAGGAGCCTCTCTCAGCTTCTTCACAGCCTCAACGGCATTCTTAAACTTGTGAGGTGCTTCTCCTAGCACCTGGGCATCCCAACCTCGTTTTACAACATTCCAATCATTCTGAAAACATTCAGCAAATTGCACATTTATGAGGACCCCTGTTTGGGCTCCATTAAAATTTTAATACATTTTTCTCTTTCTTCTTTTCAACCACACATTCTTTAATAAAATATTATTACGCGTAAACCCAAAACATTTTCTGACTTTTTAACCACACGTTCTCCAAAAAATTACTAATCAAAAATGCATTTTTCCCAAAACCTCATTAAAATGGAGCCCGAATAAAGCTTTAAACTAATAAAACGAATGCAAATATGCAAGTGAGCTAAAATAAAATTTGGGTGTACGTACAAGCTTCAGGAAAATGGAGATAACAGCTGAAGCAAACTTTCAAATGGAAACTGCATGTTTAAGACAGCAATAACATCATCTGTTGAAAGACTCATTCAAACATGGAAAAAAATCTCAAAATCAAATACAAACACATGTTTGGTCAAAAGAAATGTTCTCAAAACCAGTACAACTACTAAAGTCCTATTCTCGACAGACTTGAAGTTGGCTACGCGAATCCTTTTTCACCATTAAAGGTTTGAGGGAATCAAATATTTCTTGAAAACCTAATTTCTTGTTAATTTCAGTCTACACCTATTCTTGTCACATGTTATGCTGCAGTTTCATTGATCTTGTCAATGTAAATCTAGGAATTCTTTAGGTTTATGAAAGATATGCCTCAATCATCTAAGATAGCCCCTTAATTTACTCTCAATCCGTGATATCACACTTGCTAACATATAGCATAAGTTCTATAGTCTAATGCGCTACACACACATTTGACATCCCATAACACTTCTATATTTTGTTCAACCAATTGTAAAATCCTTTTAAAGTCTACCTTATTAATATTTAAAAATCTCTTCTCGTAAAATATTTGCTCTTTGAGACAACATGATCCTCTACTTCACCAATATCATCTTGCTTAAACGTACAATGAGCAAACGGATGTTACATATCTTCGATCTATCTTATATAACCTAGAATGCTTCAAATTTTTCGTTTCGATTTATCTTCTACTAGTCTATAAACTAAAATTGAATCTGTACAAAAGGCATCTTATCATTGACATATTGAGTCAGCCCCCATTTGACCCCCATTAATTTTCATTCCATTACATTTCATTTTTCCCTCTCCTATTTTCAACCACACAATCTTCCATAAAATAATATTACACTTAAATCGAAAACTTTTCCTTCTTTTTCAACCACTCATTTTTCAAAAAAAACACTATTCTACCGATTAATTTTTCCACAAAATGAGGGCCAAACGATGGCTTAATTCACATACAAGTCAAAGCATGAGAACTTACAACTGAACCTTAACACAGGCCTACAGTAACTGACTAATTGGAAATTCTATATTTTAACCTACTATATATCTCATACAATCATACTCATGATTGTTTTCTAGTAAAAGTTAGTAATAGTATTGACCTGGTCCTATATAATGAAAATCATATCTCTAGCACTTAAAGATGAGAATGAGACCATTTTTTTTATTAAAACTAAATCAACATATACCACCTATGATACTTACTTCTTTTCAATGTATTTTTTCCATCAATCTTCAAAGTAGGTAATGATTGCCATGAAAAATCTCTTAGTATTAAAATTGATTGTCTAAGACCTTTACGCAATAGTAAGATCTGTGTTGGACCATGTCTGTTTTCACTTATCATGCATCCTTTCACACTTTATGATCGTGTTGTATAATTTTGTCAATGACGAAATACCCATCCAGCCTAAACATTCCATATTTTAATATGGGATCAGTTAGGTCCAATTGCTTTTCTTGTTTTATGCTTTTTACAGCTTCCATGACTTTGGAGATCCAAATTTCTATATAGATCAAATTCCTATCATTAATAGAGTTTCAAAGATCCTTAAAATCCCGAATATGCCTTTCATTAAAAAGTTTGTTCAATTCTTGACTTTCATCCTTAAAAACTCAAGTTAGTTCATTCGCCTTTCTCTTTTTAATTCTCAAGATATCCAAGTAGTTTTCTCCAGATTCTAAATTCAAATATCACTATATGACTTCTTGGCCTCGAAACAGTGCTTTACCCCTAGATGTCCAGTCAACTGCTGTGCCTATACTTCTATATAGGAAACTCACAAATCACCATTTCTGATTCTCAATAAGCTAGCTTACATTCCTTAAAGGGTATCTATTTTTCATTTAGTTAAGCTTATGTACCATCTTTTTTAGGAATGACTTCTATCTGAACCTTTTTGCTCTCCCACTGTTCCACATCATTAATGAATCACCCAAAGAGACCAAAATCCACATACAATAATCCAGTAGACAATTCTGCCAAACAAAGTAATCCATAAATGCTGCAGCTAGCACAGAATACTAATTGCATATTACTTGCTTATGAGTTTATATGTAAATATTCCTAAGCACCTTGTTACAAAAAAATTGAAATAAAATAAAATATTCCTAATCAACAGGTATTATAGTCTACAAGAATGAATATTGCAAAAGAATGAATACAATCCATTCACCTCGTAACGATCCATTGTAACATGCATGCGACCTCCCCCGGAAGCAATCTGGGCATCAACACCTTTCTCACGCAGCTTTGCAAGATCATTTTCAAGAGTTTCTACAAAGCCTACGCTTGTGCCATCTAAAACATCACGTCCATCAGTGAGAATATGAACACGGATTCTTTTAGCACCATGCTCACTAGCTCCCTTTAGTAACAACTGCATCCCATTATGACATGTAAAAGTTAGTATTTTTCAACAATGTCAAGATGATAGCGAGACAAGGTAAGGTTAACAAAGTTTCAATTTCATAAAAGAAAAACAGAAAGAAGATAAAACTTCCATCAGAAGGGATCAAAAAATATGTGATGAAGCTTATTAATAGACATACCTGAAGCTGATCAAGCCTAGAGTGGACACCTCCATCACTTAATAGTCCAATGAGGTGCAATGTTCCATTTTCAAAAGATTCCTTAATGTATTTGAAACCGTCTCCTTCATAGATTTTTCCAGAGGCAAGAGCTAGATCAACAAGTTTTGCACTGCATGGAGACATAAAAGGGTCATCGTTTTAAGGGCACATGCTTATTAAGCAAGAAGCAATTTCCCACTCCCTTTAAATTGTAGGTATAGCTTGTGCACTTGGGAAATGTGTTGGGTTGTGTGCCCATATGGTATATTTTGCTATGATAAAATAATTATAAGTTGTGGTTTTATATTGACTGCATTATTTATTATTGAGCATGCAAATTAAAATGCCTATGACCACTTGATGTAATATAAGTTGGATACTTGTGTTAAGAAGTACAATGTGACACAACTTATATGTTGATCATAAACAATTTGTTCAAAACCAATGTACAAGGGTTGGCACCTTGTACTCGAAGGTTGTAGTATTGACCGATTCACTATTCATGTTTGTGATTTGTCGTTATCAAAGAAATAGTTAAAAGTGACACTAGTACACTTGGAGTGTATTGAACGGACCACATGTCGAATATAATTCTATAGCATTATCGTGCGGAGAATTAAATACCACTAAACCGTCGAGTATTTTATCTAAATCCCTTGACAAGATTATGTATGTCTTTTCGTGATTTTAATGGTTCTTTGATTTATCAATGGGTGAGATCAAATTGATTGGTCAAATATCTCGATGAGTTGAGAACTCAAGAATGAACGGAGTATAGAACATAAATTCGTGTCAGGAGCCCTAAAATATAGGTAAAGTGACTACTTAGGTATTTTCAGTTGAACCGTTAAAATCTGAGTTCAGTGTTTAACGATGGCTAAACTTCGACATCTGTAATTAGTTCACAAGACCGTTGAAGAAAATGAAATTTAAGTTAGTGAGAATAATTAAAGAGGCAAAATGGTCATTTATACTCGTACCTAATTATTGGATCTCGGACAGGGATAAAATACATATACGACAAGTCAGAGAAAAGTACTACAGATTTATTGGCTTATGTAATCTTATATATTACGACAGTTCAGTCTTTTGCCTTTAGTGGAAAAAGCAAAGACTAATGATTAGATTTGGTAGTCTAGGGTCGACTAGACATGATCTAATTATTGGAGTTTAGATAATATATGTATGATCAAGTCCCTATGATAGCTTCATGAAGTATTGGAACGTAATTACGGTAATTATAATAGTTTTGGACTTAATTGTAGTTACAATAAAGTTTTGTACATGGTTATAATTACTATGAAAGTTGTAAACTTAATTATAATTGTAATTGGAGTTCTACGACTGCACATGTAATTAAATGTAAACTAATTGGATTTGTACCTAAATTAAAACTCCTACTCGAATTTTGATTAGAACTCCTATTTGAATGTGGAATTATTATTGTATAAGGATCGAAACTCTTCTATCTCTATAAATGGAGATTAGATAGATCCTAGACATCCTATCGAATTGTACAATATTTATAATACATAATTCCATAGTGTTCAAATTTTGGAAAGAGAAAAAAGAGAGAAAATTACTTTGTTTGATTTTTCAATTGTCCAGTTCAAGAATTAATTTCTTGATTTAATTAAAAGAAGGTATCAACCCACTTGTGTAGTCTTGACTTTCGAGAATATAATAGAAGACTTGAAAGTTTGAAGCATCAAGTTCTTGAAATTAAAAAGTTGGAAGTTCGTGATTCAGAATAAATTCAAGAACTTATCATCGAGTTTAGGTAAAAATTCGAATCCTTTATTTTTAATATAATATACATATGAACATCTAAACGATCTTGTTTATTGAATTAAAGAAATTTTTTAATTACTGGACAATTCCGCTTCCACATTCCAACAAAATGATTGTTCATTGACACAGACGCCACAAATAAAATGAAAATGCAAAAATTGTCTTAGCCGGAACGAGAGAGTGTGTGTGACTACATGAAGAGCACACTATCCCTTACTCCATTCTTCTACAACCTCTTGATCAAAATAGTGCTGATTAGATTAAACTTTCAAACAATACTTTGCATGTCTTATGATTTAATGCTCCACCAATTGGTTAGAAGAAGAGTTCTAAAAGGCGTCGCCTAAGCGTGATGCTCGGCCAAAATTATGTGTGCTTAGGCACAATTATGTGCGCCATCCTTTTGTTATTATTATTATTTTTTTTTTTAATTTTGTGTTGTTAAAAAATTATCAATGGCTAATTTCTTTATTTTGCCCTAATTTAAAACAACCACTTGTATTGGAAGACACAGAGGACGAATTAGATGAAGAAGAGGATATTGAATTGGAGTCCGATAAAGAGTTAGATAATATTTAAATTCCTAAACTATTTATTTACTATTTTGTATTTAAATTTGAAACTTATCTTTTTGTAGGAAACTTTTGAAAAAATATATAACGTTCCTATGAATCTGTTTTAAATATTTAGTAAGTATTATTTTTTATTATTATATAATTTTTTGATTTATTAAAAATTAAAATAATATTAAAATAAGAAAATGCCTTTTACGCTTTTTTACGTCTAAGCTCGCGTAGCCCGTAGCTTGGCCTCCACGCATCGCCACGCATTATGCCATATAGAAAACTAGTTAGAAGTAAAACCTTTTGTTATTAGAAAATGTTTTCAGCGTTGATTGCACTGGATACAAGCATTTCAAAATTCGAATCATCTTGAACACGGTCAAAACTATGGGTATTTGCAATATAGCACAAATCAATATAAATCAAATCTAACTAAGCCAATGTTTAAAATTTTAGTTTTCAGATTTTAGTAACGGAATAGGAAAGAAAAATATATGTATCTCACCCTTGTGCGAAAATACGGCCAGCGCCAAGAGCATTGTGACCAACTTCACTGTTGCCCATGTCATCGTCTGTGGGCAGCCCCACTGCTTTACCGTGCGCCTTCACCAATCTCCATTTGTCAGGCGCACCCTTCATCAATAAACGCCACAATAAAAAAGTGAATCCCATTTATACTCTAAAAAGTAAGTCAATAATCAAAATTACCTTTTTCAGTGAATCCATGGTGGGAGTCTTGGCGACGTGAATGCAGTTGTACTGATTGGGATTGGCCTCACCCCATCCATCCAAAACCACAACTGCTATGATTTTTCCCTTTGGCAATTTTGGGTGATCTTTCAATTTCCATGAAAATCCAGAGCTACCCATATCTCTTCTCTATTTTCTATCTAATCAATAAAAATGATAGTAAAGAACCAAATATCGATCAGAAAACAGTAAATACATCATATCTAAGACACTGATACACTTAAATACATCATATACCTATGTGTAAAGGGCTATGAATCGAACCTTCGTGATTAAGTGCAGAAAATCTAGAAAAGTAAGAAAAAGGTGAAATTGCCAAGCGACTTTGAGCGACGTGTGCTGTTGGGTTAGGCGAATACATGCACGTCACCCTGCCATTCCCCCTTTTATAGGGCAAAAAAATATAATAAAAGCGGTGGTTCTCCATTTGAAGTGTTGCCCCTTCTACTCATTTGTTCTCGATCTTTCGTCTAGTCTACGTGAACAATTTTACATTTATCTTGATTAACTTGAGCATGTTAGTAGAAATTTTAATGAAAGTAATATCAATTTTTTGACCATTATTTTATTATTCCAATCATCATTTTTTAATTTCTTTCGATGTGACCCACTTTATCTCTAACGATCAAAAAATCAATTAACAAAATATATATATATATATATATATTCACAACTAAAAATGATGGGTTTACCTTTACCTTTATCTTTAAAATAAATAATTTTAATAAATTAAAAAATACACAATTAAAGAAAGTTACACCCGGGCCTAGGAAAAAAAAATGAAAATGGCCAAATCAATTAAACTAAACCGATTCGCGTCAATTTGACACAGGTTATTGGTTTGATTTGATTTTTAAAAAAAAAAAACAAAATCATAGTTGATCTGTTCAGTCATGATTTCAAGTCTCAAATCGTCGGCTAATCGAATCGACCCAATCCACTGACATGTTTACCTTTTTTCTTAAGAAAAATAAAAATAAAAAGATAAGCTCTAATTTCGTAACTATATCTCAATTCCCTCTAATCTATGATTTTGCCAGTAAATAATAACACTAAAAATTTCCTTTTGCAAACTCATTATATTATACTTAACTTTTTTTTCTTATTCAAATAGTTAGACTACATAATGTACAAAATAGTAATAAATATTTTAAACTTTTCGTTCATCTGTCTCAATTTTATTTATTAGTCAATGGTTTTTATAATATAAAGTTCTTTAGTTATTTGATTCCTTGTAACTAAGTGGGCTGAAAACTCGGACAATTTTTAAAAAAAATTCAATTTGAACTAAAAGTCTAAATCAACTAACGGAATGGAATCGTACCAAATCGATTTGGTTTGGTTTAATTCATTTTAAGAGTTGGAGTGGGTTGGTTTTTGATTTTGTTTTGGCGCCCAAGCCTAATTACGCCCAACTTACAAAAAAGTTATATATGATAAATAATTATTTATTGATTTTTATTTATCAAATTCGTAACTTTCAAGTTTTAATGAGTAAATTTATTTTAATATATTTTATAGTTATTATTTATTACTTTATTATAATTTAAAAATAAATATTAATTAAAAATAACATTTAAAATAAAATAAAGTTAAACAAAGTTAAATTGTTAATATTAAAAAGAATATAATAGGAATTCAAATTTGTGCAACATAAAATGAATGGCAAAATAGAAATATTGAAAATTTTCAAAAATTATACCAAATGAAGTTTTACGCTAAAATTGGTGTAATATATATATATAGCTGTAGCTAGAACTTGAAAAATCTCCTATCTTTGTCCATTTTTCTCCTCATTTGAAAATACTTTTCATTTTTGATATCATATTTTACTACAATGAAAATCATGAAATACATTAATAACCCATAATTAATAAATAATGCTCAAACACATCAATTTTTCATACAAAAATAGGCATGGTGTGTAGACTATGTAGCAAAGAACGGAGGCCCTTGCGTACCTCATGTTATATCCATGTCAAAATTGCCTCAATTTCAATGCAAGGATGTATGGTGTGAAGTTGGTGCGAAATTATCATCACGAAGTTCATTGAAAAATTTCATCAAACACTTTGAGTTCAATGAATTTTGTGAAGTGTTTAGACCCAATTTATGCACTCAATCCACAACAATCAACTCTATTATGCCTTCGCTAGCCAAGCTTCAATCCCCCAAGTCCATGTATGAATATTCATATGATGCATGGACTTTGTAGTCAACAATGATGAGGCATGCATACTTAGTAGTAATAATATTTAGCATATAATAATTTAATAATACTAAAATATAAGTATCACAATAGTCCTCCAAGTCCACTTTCGAGTTAAAGCACGTCACATTTCGTGCTTTGGCATAGGCTATCACGCATGACTCCTTGGTTGTGTAATATTGCAAAGGGACGTAGCACGATAGTTCCCCAAGTTGAAGCATGGTTATTTATATAATGTGTGAACTTATAGGATGCAGACATTGTTGGCAATTATTTCGTTAATTTGAAGGAGGACCTAATAATGGGGTCGAAGTTTGTGATAAGGCTGAAATTCATTAGGACGATGCTCTTTATGCGGTTAAAGTGTGTGATAAGGCTGGAATTCATTTAGACAATGCACTTGCATTGAGGGTCGCACATGTTGATGAGTTTGAAGCCTATGATAAGTTTAGAATACAATTTACGAATGAGTTTATACATAGTAAAAGTCAGAGGATTTCATAAAAGAGTTTGATCGAGTCTATATATGAATGTTATTTATTTGAAATAACTACATTAGTACAACATTGGACGAGCCTATCCAAGTTACTAGTCAAATTACTCATCAATTAAATGCTTAATATTATTGATTAAAAGAACCTCGTGGGTAAGCTACATTTGGTGTGGGGTTATGCTATTAAGTGATCCCATATTATTAAGAGATAGGATTTTATATTGTCATCAAAACTTTTGTACTTAGAAATTATTTTGGAATTACAAACTTCTTTAGCAAGTTTAGAAAATTGTCGAATGTTGTTAGGTAGACCAATTTAATATCTTTTGTTTTTTGTTAAGCTATGTGTTTGTTTAGTATGTACGATCACATCAGTTCCAGAATATTAACAAGTTCGGATTATTATTTCAGTTTAATATACGACATTAATTCAAGTTTCATTAGTCATTGAGGAAAAGCAAAAAGAACTCGTTCAATAATAAAACAAACTATTACACAAGAGGCAAGGACCTCAAAAATTACAAAGCACGAATTGGGAAAAAAAAAAAAGTAATAATAAGGCCTATCCCCTAAGTAGTGGCATCATCCGTTGAGGTTCCTGCTGGTTTTCCTCGACATCTTCAACGGAGGCCTCTATGGCATCCTCCGCCAAGGTGGCTGGCTCTTCTAGGTAAAACTCATTCCTTATTGAAGCCAAGTCCACCTAGGGATCCAACTGAGCTATCATCCTCATGACTTCATCATATGCGACCTTCCTCCATTATCAATAGAGGCAGTCATACTCATCTGTCTCATGGAAATGCTCCAAGTAATTGGTAACTGCTGTCTCCCCAGCCACTTTTAATTGCTGTTTTAGACTGGCAACCTTGGCAGTCAACTCATCAACTTAGGACTTCTATTACCCTTTTTCCATAGTTGCCACCTCCAAAGTTGACGAAACTAACTGGCAACCTTGGCAGTCAACTCATCAACTTAGGACTTCTATTACCCTTTTTCCATAGTTGCCACCTCCAAAGTTGACGAAACTATCTTCTACAAGTTGTTAGAATTCTCCACTCACTTCGTCATAGCATTTATCTCAGCCTTACAATGGTAGACCTCCTTCTTCAGATCTTCGTTCTCAATAGTAAGAACCTCGACTCTGCTTAACCATGCTTGGGCTAGAAAAGCTTCGGAAACTTCATTAGTAGTGTAGGCCTCAAATTTCAACCTTTTGACCTCTGCTTCTGCATCAGCCACCTTTTGGCAAAAGTCTTTATTTAGCCTCTGCAATCTCCTTATGTCCATTTGGGCATTCAAGAAAAAGCCTTGTGGGCAAGCTTCCAGGGCGATCCCTTTTCTTTTAATGAGGCCAGACTCAGGCTCAACTATTTTAACGGTCGAGATGGGTTTGTCGCAATGGGCTTATTCACTGATTCATCAATAGATGGGTTTGTCGCAATGGGTTCAGCTTCAACAAATGAGACAAGTTTCTCCCGCTGATGCTTGTAGGAGGAAGTGTTGGTGCTAAGGGGCTTATTCTTCTTGGCCTCGCCCAGTTGCCTCATAAAGAACATATTAGGCTTGACATATTCTTTCTTCTCGTGTCGGTCTGCAAAAATTCGAAGCAAACAGCTCTTGACATGAATTTACAAATAAGGTATATACACATGGCGAAGCTATTTACCTTTGGTGGCCATCAGTAAATGTGTAATGAAGAGGGACAGCTTCGCGATAACAAATTTGAATGGTCTTTTTCCAATAAGCGGTTCATATATGGCTCGGAATATGGCCCACTCTTCCGACTTAAGCTCAAATCCATTAATTGTAACTACATAAAAACCAATTTAGCCAAAAAAAAATAAAAATAATAATTTCTAAGAGTAACGAATGATAAAAGCACTTGACGTACACAAAAATCAAACAAGTCGATAGGATTCTATAAAACTTGTTGCTCGATCGGAAAAAATTCAAAACTTTCTAAAAGATGTAAAAGAAGTTTTGCTTGCTCGGCAATATTTCAGAGAGTGTAAAAAGAAGAAAAATGCTTAAGACCTCCTTATATAGGCAATTAAGATGAGCTACAACCATCAGATAAGCAATTCTTAAATCTGGGACGTATACTTGTGCCCATTGAAAATCAAAAGGCGCTTAATGAGCGATTAAGATCAAATCTGCGCACGTCCAACACGTTGCCTATAACAGCTGTAACAGACAGTTATCGTTGCGTCTTTAATGCACATGCAATACACATATGGAAAATATGGAAATTTTCCTCATTGCTATACATTGGAAAGGGAAAAAGTTTACATATCATTGTAGCGTGCATCTTATTAATGTGTCTTCATAGATTAATTTTTGACTTTACCTAAAGAGTCTCTAGATCAATGCAATTAACATCAATAGGCTCGCCCTCTGTGCAAGGGCATTTTGCCTAAATGAATTTCAGTCTTATCAAAGGCTTCAACTACATCAATAGGCTCACCCTCAATGTAAGGACATCGCCTAAATGAATTTCAACAATATCATAGGCTTTAACCACCTCAACAGGCTCGCCCTAAATGTTGCACCTCAACTTGAAAGTGGACTTAGGGAACTATGTGATACTAGTATCTGTGTCGTTTCATTAGTGTTATTGCTGCAAAGTATGCATATGCCACATCATTGCTAACTCGAAAGTCCAAGCATTATATGGATATTAATACATGGACTTAAAAGACTATTGCTATACCTCCGCTAGTAAGGCTCC